AAATCCAAAGGCGACGTATTTCTTCGTGTTTTTTGGTCTTTAAACGATCATTGGCATGGGTCCTTTTACTGTCTTTTTCTTCTATCTTCGTGAAAGAACCCAAGCACTTGGATTGGTCCCTTCTCGTTCATGTGATACCAAAGTGACGTCAATGGGGAGGCAAGCGGATGCGCGGTGCGTCTTTTAGCTCCACTGTCTGCTGCCTACTATGTGATAGGAGGGTGTACAGTTCCCTCAACACAAAAATGGAGGGCGCACGACCTACATGTCAATTTTCTCGTCTAGCAGTATTGTCTCTATTTTTATTAAAGATCGCGTTCGACACGGAAATCAATCAGTCTAATCAATAAATGTTGCTGGAATCATGGGTTTTATTAATCATGAGAAGACCTGATAGGATACTGAGGGCAACATATGGCAATATGTGATATGAGGATATCCTCATAATTGTCGGTAGGCTACAGTTTCAATTACAAACCGAAGACGGTTGTAGGCTATAATTTCAAATTTATTGCAAATTATTTAGCATTTTGATTCATATTACAATAAACATAAATCACTGACAGTTTCCCTTTAACTGTGAGCTCAATGTTGATACTTCATTCCCAGAAATGATTGATTACCATCCACAATGTCTGTCTGATGGGGGAGTGCACAACACATACCCATTAAAACTGTTTCAGCAGTGGGTCAGAGACTCCCAGTCCCATACTTGACCCACAGTGACAGTATGTATCGATGTTTACAGATTAAACCTAAGAAACGGTTGTCACAAACCTACTGTATGTGACAGCCTATGTTGACAACACTGTATGGGCATGCTGAAGGGCATACTGAGTAGAATAAGTATTGCAGAGATAGAAGAGTAACCTACACTCTAATGCTGCTTAGTAACCAAGTGGGAAGTGGGAATTTAAAACATACAACTGGCAAAAATCCACTTGAACCACCCTCAAACTGGTAATTACTAGTGGGAAACTCATATCATCATGAGCTCTGACTTCTCCCACATGCTGACCTCTGACGTCACCTACTAAGGAAATTACCTCCCTAGCATCATTTTCGGTAGTTAAATGCAACAAAACATTTATAAAAAGCAATCTATTAATATGGTTTTTGAACACTATAATTGATTTACAAGCATGATAGCTGTACTTTTAGTTTATGGTTTATGCAGCTTGTTGGCCATTAGCGTTTCTCAACTAATTCAAAGCACTTGAATGCATCCAACTGGTATTTATGGTATCACAACTGCTAAATTCCCACCTCCCACTTGGTTACGAATGCAGCATTGTCATGAGTAATTGTGTCTGTTCTTTTCATTAACATTTGTAAACCATGTTTTGTTTGTGGGGAGGGACACAGCAGGTAGACTAGAGTGTGAAATATATAGTACCTTGGGCACTCATCTCATGGGTCACACTGTCAAAAACAAGCAGCTCTTCAAAGATGCACTATGCAGAAATCGCTCCACCATTTCCTGTTTGCTAAAATTCTAATAGTTCGCCTAATTTCAGTTTATGTGACAAAACAAGCAAGTATAGTGTAGAGAATCATTGTACCATCTAAACTGCAGTGAAATATATTTTCCATAACCAAAAATATTGTATTTTTTAAAGCGATTTGAAGCTGGTGTACAAAACCGAAAAAGAGGCAAAAACGAAACGTAAGAACGGGAAGCATAGATATAGCACACATAGAACATATCTACCAATTCTTAGACTTGCTTTCAATGAGAATGACAGATCTATAACTAACATTTCTATGTGAATTTGGTTGGGTTGCACAAAAAACTTACATATTGCTTAGTCTCTCCACTAAGGTCTCGATGCTCCCACTGGGAGCTGAACACATTTCTCCGAATGCTTTTTCAATTCCACCCACTCCCATTACTCAACTTGACCACAACATTGCAGAGATAGACACTCTTACCAATTGTGCTCCATATTTGCAACACACAATCGCAAGCCTTGGTCTGTCATGTCTGAACATTTAGTAAAGCTGAAAGTGAAAGACAATGTGACTGTCATTATGCAGTTTAGACATTTCAGATATAAGAGGAAGTTAAATAACCCCCTATATAGTCTCCTTTAAATGATAAATCACACTCAAATGGAACATAAATAAGGAGGTCCTACAAACATGCCCAAAACCTTAGGGCATAACACATTACGGTTCCTAATTTCTGATGAATTCATTCCTTTACAATCAGCATTATTATGTAAACATTGATTACGCTCAACGTAAATCTCAAATGGGTTTTGTCAATGCAATGAGTGTAGAGTGCTGGTGGCTTTCTGATATGTTTCCCTTCACATGCCACTGGTGGACATGAACAGGTCTGGTATAGTTGTCCGGTCGGCAGCGCTCCTAGCTGAATCCCAGCCTAAATCCTGTGTCCAAACTGTAGCAGAAGAAGCACAGTCTCTCAGGTCTCAGTTTAACATTAGCCACTCATCAGTGTCCCGAGTTACAAAATCTCTTGTTAAATTATGAGAACGTAATGAGAGCAGCTTGGTTTCAATTAATTAACTCCATCCTGATTATCTTCAGTAATCCTGTTGTGTTAAAGGGTAACTCCACTCAAAAACTATGGGTATTTTTTTTAAACAAACAATAACCCAAATATAATGGATTATTTGGGGAATAACTCCTCAGTTCCCCCCAAATCTCCTGGAATAAATAAAAAAAACACACCCTGAATGCTACTTGATTTAAACCACTTCAAGCAGGGCTGAAGTCACAGAGGAATAACTACCCAGTTGACCAGACAGAGTTGTGTTTAATCCATTTTGTTAAACCAAAAGACACTCATGATTGAGCTCATTCGATGAGACCTTCCTTGCTACCCCACAGAATTGAATACAAAATACAAACAGCTTTGAATTTATGCTCCTCTCACATCCCGATTTTGGTTATCAACCACTTGATGGTACTATTGCAGAATTCCCAGAAGAACAGTGCTTAAGTGCATCACAAAGTGTTTTGATAGCTACACAATGGGTGAATTCTTTGTGAAACCACTGTTTCGACCACTAGAATGTGGATAGTGTTTAAACTGTTTGAGGGACAGTGGAATGTTGAGTGTCTCTCAGCAATACACTGTAACATGCTACAAGTAAACAGTGTTAAGTGGAGATTGTGATACAGTATAATATGTGTTCTTGGTGCTTTTCAGAGGTGTCCTGAGCTCTGTTGGCTGCATTAAGGCATTAAGTGTGTGTGTGTGAATGCATTTTCTCTTATACTGTATGTGTCTGTGAGTTCTGTAGTGTATAGGTGATGAGTTTCCCTTCTATTGAGATGGAAAGCAACAGCTGTAACTCACACAGAACAAATGGGGTCAACAGATGCCAAATTCGTCCACACTGACTGGAAAGCCAGTTCAAAGGTCATCAGCAAATTACATCCAGCAACTTAAAAGTCACATTTATGCTTGATCCGAAAATGTGGTCGGAGGCTCCGTAATGGAGGGTGTGACGCAATTGCAGAGCCTCCGGAGGCATGCAGAGGCCAAATTGAGCTCCGTACCGCATTGCCGTGCACCTCCCAAATGTTGTAACAATGCAGAGGGCTCCATATAGCTCTGCATTGACATGATTGGTTGACGGTAGGTGGGGGCGGGAGGTCCTGTATAAATACAAACTCACTTTTTTGACAACAGCTCTGCGCTGCTTTACGAAGCGCAAGAAGTATGAATGCCCTGACTTCTACAGAGGCCATATCACCTAAATGCTGCACGGCCAATGCAGATGTCGGATTGACCATGCAGCGCCTTTAAGCGTGACACTAGTAACTCTACATCTATTTCTGACCCACGCTGTTCCTAGAGTGCTTGGTTGAGGAGAAACCAATGGCACTGCAGGAAAAAGCTTAACTCAGCCTTACATTCATGCATGTCATGAAGAGATTTCATTTAGGATACAGTACCGTTCATATATACACACACAGTGCACAAATCATTAGGAACACCTTCCTAATATTGAGTTACACCCCCTTTTGCCCTCAGAACAGCCTCAATTCGTCGGAGCATGAACTACAAGGTGTCGAAAGCATTTCATAGGGACCCTGGCCGATGTTGACTCCAATGCTTCCCACAGTTGTGTCAAGTTGGCTGGATGTCCTTTCGGTGGTGGACCATTCTTGATACACAGAAAACTGTTGAGCGTGAAAAACCCAGCAGTGTTGCAGTTCTTGACACACTCAAACCAGTGTGCCTGGCACCTACTACCATACCCTGTTCAAAAACACTTAAATCTTTTGTCGTGACCATTCACCCTCTGAATGGCACACATACACAATCCATGTCTCAATTGTCTCAAAGCTTAAAAATCCTTCTTTAACCTGTCTCCTCCCCTTATTGAAGTGGATTTAATAGGTGACATCAATAAGGGATCATAGCTTTCACCTGGATTCAGCTGGTCAGTCTATGTCATGGAAAGAGCAGGTGTTCCTAATGTTTTGTTCCTAATGTTTTATACACTCAGTGTATACAGTATATCACCAGTTACCATTTCAATATGTGCTATGCTCCAGCTTCTGGTATTACTAATTATAAACGGTCTATTTAAAAACAGTCTTATTTTAAGTTAAGATTGAGTAAAGATTATTTTATAGGCCACAAGTCCCTTAGCTAAGGGAACAACTAAAACCACATCTGTTCTTTTATAAAAGTATCCTTGTGCATCTCTAGTTGTCATAGGCCAAAAACAGCATTTGTCCTTTTGTGAGTCTATTTATGTATCTCTAGTTGACACTCATTAAAAAAATAAAAATACAGTGTTAGACATGGGTCTAGATTTTCCTTAAAAATGACAGCCTAGGTGACTACGAATGACAGTACTACTAGGCGGCAGGTAGCCTAGCGGTTAAGTGAAAGGTCGCTGGTTTGAATTTCCGAGCCGACTAGGTGAAACATCTGTAGATGTGCCCTTGAACAGGGCACTTAAACCTAATTGCTCCTGTAAGTCGCTCTGGATAAGCGTGTCTGCTAAAATGTAATTATTGCTTTTGACCCCTTAAAATTAGTGTTACATTCTCTAAAACCCACCAAGCAGCAGCAAAAACATAGTAAACGAATGGAGAATGTCAGTAAAACATATTTACAAATCATTCCCACTGTTAAATTGCAATAAAATAAGGCCATGTTTAAAAAGCGATCCCTCTTCAAGCAAGATCCCATATACAATAATACCCTGATGAACCCTAAGAAAGCCAGCAAAATATGCAGATAAATACTCCAAACATTCCCATTTGAGGGTCCCTTCTTCAACCTCCATTCTTACGTCCCATTGCTGTGCCCATAGCCAAAAAGATGAGCGTGGACAGAGCACCTAAAGGAGTGCCATTCTATGACAATGGGACCCTGTGTCTAAACAGGCCCTGCTTCAGCTGCAGACGGAACAGTTTGCAGTTAGCGATACGCAGAGCTGCACAGCCCGTCTTGCACAGATCAGATGTCAGCATGGGCTTGGTGCGGTGCCACGTCCCCGAGCTACGACGGAATTCCCTCACATAGTCATAGGTTGTACCTACGCAGAGGGAGGAAAATATACATTCATATTGCCCTCAGGGGACCGCCAGCTGTACACACACACACACACCTTTAGAGATAAATATATACATTACACAGTACACACAAACAGTAACTTGTATTTGCAAATGTTTGCCAAGTTGTTGTAATGTGCTTCAGGAGTCCATTACATAACATATCATAATATTTACATTTCTATTGGCACAGCCTTTAACTCACCAGTGTCTAGGTCTCCCACCACATAAATGCTGACTCCAATGGGGACAGCTCCATACACAAAGGAGGAACTGGTCTGAACACAGAGATTCTGGTCGTCCAGGTACATCCATCTGGACACAGTGTGGTTGGGCCCAAAAAATAAAATAATGCTTTAAAGTTTTTTTACTCATCTACAAACACAGTAAATATAAGGTCTCTTCGTCTTTAGGTAACGAGGATACACCCCAGTCTATAACCGTTCTGGCTAATGCATAAATTAAAACAAGGAAATATTTGATCAAAGTAAGCCCTATTATTGACCTTTTCATCTCATCATGGAAAAACTCTGACTTGCAGGTGGTCATGGGGCTGGATTCTGGGTTGTCGGAGTCACGGCTCCTCACGCCTCCAAACACATAGAGCTCCTGACCCACACCACACGCCACTGAGCCAAACCTGCAGGCAGAGACAACCCCACCGTAACATTAGGTGAGGGGTCACTCATCAAGAGCTAGAGTTGCAAAATTCCAGGAATTTTCAATAAATTCCCAGGTTTTCCAGAAATCCTGGTTGGGGGATTACGGATTTCCTGTTTATTCCCTCCTGTGCTCTCCAACCGGGATTTCAGGAAAAGCTGGGAATTTATTTAAAGTTCACGGAATTTTGGAACTCTATCGAGAGCATAATATGAATAACACCAACACTAAACAAATCCACCACAGGGGACTTTCTGTCACATACATCTTTTGTGGTCTTTGAAGGGATGAAAATTCTATTAAAAAAGTTAGGAAAAATATGAGTTAATCTGGGGACAAAGCTATGCTTCTGGCCTTATTCTCTACCTCGTGTCGAAATACAATAGACAGAATGCATTTATGTAATCTAACCTAATATATAGTCATTATAATAAGTGCATGCAATTGTTCACTGTTAGTTATTTTATCGCTTTGGTGCAATTTTTACAAGTATGTGGTGCAGTTTCACAACTCTTAGTTCAAAACTCAAAACAGATAATCAAAAAGGCAGTTGTTTCAAAACTCTAAGCACATTGTGAATTAACTAAGTAGAACACACAAAATCATTCAGTCACTTTTTCATCAAACTTAGTGTCACATTGCAATACATGTTCATATAAAGTAATTGCCTTTCACAATGCAATGCTCAGATTACTTTTGATATGATTCTCTTCTATTTTGTTAAAATACATTTTACTATTACTTAATTCGACTGCTCTTAATGGATGATCATTTAAACGTTTGGTAAACCTATAGATTAGACTATACATGTAAACTGGTTTGTCTACTACAGATTTTGAGAACTAAATAATCCCCCCCCCCAAAAAAAGGTAATTTGTCACATGCTTCGTAGACAACAGGTGTAGACTAACAGTGAAATGTTTACTTACGGGTCCTTTTCCAACAAGATAGAAAAAATCAAATAAAAAATTAAGTGACAAGAAATAAATGCACAGTGAATAAGGAATAAAAATAAAAAGAATGAGTAAAAATAACATGGCTCTATATATATATATATATATATATATATATATATATATATATATATATATATATATATATATATATATATATACACACACGCACACACACATACAGTGGGAAGAACAAGTATTCGATACACTGCCGATTTTGCAGGTTTTCCTACTTACAAAGCATGTAGAGGTCTGTAATTTTTATCATAGGTACACTTCAACTGTGAGAGACGGAATCTAGAAAATCACATTGTATGATTTTTAAGTAATTAATGTGCATTTTATTGCATGACATAAGTATTTGATACATCAGAAAAGCAGAAATTAATATTTGGTACAGAAACCTTTGTTTGCAATTACAGAGATCATACGTTTCCTGTAGGTCTTGACCAGGTTTGCACACACTGCAGCAGGGATTTTGGCCCACTCCTCCATACAGACCTTCTCCAGATCCTTCAGGTTTCTGGGCTGTCGCTGGGCAATACGGACTTTCAGCTCCCTCCAAAGATTTTGTATTGGGTTCAGGTCTGGAGACTGGCTAGGCCACTCCAGGACCTTGAGATGCTTCTTACAGAGCCACTCCTTAGTTGCCCTGGCTGTGTGTTTCGGGTCGTTGTCATGCTGGAAGACCCAGCCACGACCCATCTTCAATGCTCTTACTGAGGGAAGGAGGTTGTTGGCCAAGATCTCGCGATACATGGCCCCGGCCAAGATCCCCTCAATACGGTGCAGTCATCCTGTACCCTTTGCAAAAAAGCATCCCCAAAGAATGATGTTTCCACCTCCATGCTTCACGGTTGGGATGGTGTTCTTGGGGTTGTACTCATCCTTCTTCTTCCTCCAAACACGGCGAGTGGAGTTTAGACCAAAAAGCTCTATTTTTGTCTCATCAGACCACATGACCTTCTCCCATTCCTCCTCTGGATCATCCAGATGGTCATTGGCAAACTTCAGACGGGCCTGGACATGCGCTGGCTTGAGCAGGGGGACCTTGCGTGCGCTGCAGGATTTTAATCCATGACGGCGTAGTGTGTTACTAATGGTTTTCTTTGAGACTGTGGTCCCAGCTCTCTTCAGGTCATTGACCAGGTCCTGCTGTGTAGTTCTGGGCTGATCCCTCACCTTCCTCATGATCATTGATGCCCCACGAGGTGAGATCTTGCATGGAGCCCCAGACCGAGGGTGATTGACCGTCATCTTGAACTTCTTCCATTTTCTAATAATTGCGCCAACAGTTGTTGCCTTCTCACCAAGCTGCTTGCCTATTGTCCTGTAGCCCATCCCAGCCTTGTGCAGGTCTACAATTTTATCCCTGATATCCTTACACAGCTCTCTGGTCTTGGCCATTGTGGAGAGGTTGGAGTCTGTTTGATTGAGTGTGTGGACAGGTGTCTTTTATACAGGTAACGAGTTCAAACAGGTGCAGTTAATACAGGTAATGAGTGGAGAACAGGAGGGCTTCTTAAAGAAAAACTAACAGGTCTGTGAGAGCCGGAATTCTTACTGGTTGGTAGGTGATCAAATACTTATGTCATGCAATAGAATGCAAATTAATTACTTAAAAATCATACAATGTGATTTTCTGGATTTTTGTTTTAGATTCCGTCTCTCACCGTTGAAGTGTACCTATGATAAAAATTACAGACCTCTACATGCTTTGTAAGTAGGAAAACCTGCAAAATCGGCAGTGTATCAAATACTTGTTCTCCCCACTGTATATACAGTTGAAGTCGGAAGTTTACATACACTTAGGTTGGAGTCATTAAAACTCGTTTTTCAACCACTCCACAAATTTCTTGTTAACAAACTATAGTTTTGGCAAGTCAGTTAGGACATCTACTTTGTGCATGACACAAGTAATTTTTCCAACAATTGTTTACAGACAGATCATTTCACTTATAATTCACTGTATCACAATTCCAGTGGGTCAGAAGTTTACATACACTAAGTTGACTGTGCCTTTAAACAGCTTGCAATTTCTGAGGCTGGTCACTCTGGGTCTTCCTTTCCTGTGGCGGTCCTCATGAGAGCCAGTTTCATCATAGTGCTTGATGGTCTTTGTGACTGCACTTGAAGAAACTTTCAAAGTTCTTGAAATTTTCCAGATTGACTGACCTTCATGTCTTAAAGTGATGATGGACTTTCGTGTCTCTTGGCTTATTTGAGCTGTTCTTGCCATAATACGGACTTGTTTTTTTACCCTCCCTATCTTGTCACATCACAAATGATTGGCTCAAATGCATTAAGAAGGAAGGAAATTCCACAAATGAACTTGCAACAAGGCACACCTGTTAATTGAAATGCATTCCAGGTGACTACCTCATGATGCTGGTTTAGAGAATGCCAATATTGTGCAAAGCTGTCATCAAGGCAAAGGGTGGCTACTTTGAAGAATCTCAAATATATTTTGATTTGTTTAACACTTTTTTGGTTACTACATGATGACATATGTGTTATTTCATAGTTTTAATGTCTTCACTATTATTCTACAATGTGGAAAATAGTAAAAATAATGAATGAGTAGGTGATTCCAAACCTTTGACTGATAAAATATATACACTGCTCAAAAAAATAAAGGGAACACTAAAATAACACATCCTAGATCTGAATGAATGAAATAATCTTATTAAATACTTTTTTCTTTACATAGTTGAATGTGCTGACAACAAAATCACACAGAAATTATCAATGGAAATCAAATTTATCAACCCATGGAGGTCTGGATTTGGAGTCACCCTCAAAATTAAAGTGGAAAACCACACTACAGGCTGATCCAACTTTGATGTAATGTCCTTAAAACAAGTCAAATGAGGCTCAGTAGTGTGTGTGGCCTCCACGTGCCTGTATGACCTCCCTACAACGCCTGGGCATGCTCCTGATGAGGTGGCGGATGGTCTCCTGAGGGATCTCCTCCCAGACCTGGACTAAAGCATCCGCCAACTCCTGGACAGTCTGTGGTGCAACGTGGCGTTGGTGGATGGAGCGAGACATGATGTCCCAGATGTGCTCAATTGGATTCAGGTCTGGGGAACGGGCGGGCCAGTCCATAGCATCAATGCCTTCCTCTTGCAGGAACTGCTGACACACTCCAGCCACATGAGGTCTAGCATTGTCTTGCATTAGGAGGAACCCAGGGCCAACCGCACCAGCATATGGTCTCACAAGGGGTCTGAGGATCTCATCTCGGTACCTAATGGCAGTCAGGCTACCTCTGGCGAGCACATGGAGGGCTGTGCGGCCCCCCAAAGAAATGCCACCCCACACCATGACTGACCCACCGCCAAACCGGTCATGCTGGAGGATGTTGCAGGCAGCAGAACGTTCTCCACGGCGTCTCCAGACTCTGTCACATGTGCTCAGTGTGAACCTGCTTTCATCTGTGAAGAGCACAGGGCGCCAGTGGCGAATTTGCCAATCTTGGTGTTCTCTGGCAAATGCCAAACGTCCTGCACGGTGTTAGGCTGTAAGCACAACCCCCACCTGTGGACGTCGGGCCCTCATACCATCCTCATGGAGTCTGTTTCTGACCGTTTGAGCAGACACATGCACATTTGTGGCCTGCTGGAGGTCATTTTGCAGGGCTCTGGCAGGGCTCCTCCTGCTCCTCCTTGAACAAAGGCGGAGGTAGCAGTCCTGCTGCTGGGTTGTTGCCCTCCTATGGCCTCCTCCACATCTCCTGATGTACTGGCCTGTCTCCTGGTAGCGCCTCCATGCTCTGGACACTACGCTGACAGACACAGCAAACATTCTTGCCACAGCTCGCATTGATGTGCCATCCTGGATGAGCTGCACTACCTGAGCCACTTGTGTGGGTTGTAGACTCCGTCTCATACTACCACTAGAATGAAAGCACCGCCAGCATTCAAAAGTTACCAAAACATCAGCCAGGAAGCATAGGAACTGAGAAGTGGTCTGTGGTCACCACCTGCAAAACCAGTCCTTTATTGGGGGTGTCTTGCTAATTGCCTATAATTTCCACCTGTTGTCTATTCCATTTGCACAACAGCATGTTGTTGAAATTTATTGTCAATCAGTGTTGCTTCCTAAGTGGACAGTTTGATTTCACAGAAGTGTGATTGACTTGGAGTTACATTGTGTTGTTTAAGTGTTCCCTTTATTTTTTTGAGCAGTGTATATATACACATACACACAGTTGAAGTCGGAAGTTTACATACACTTAGGTTTGAGTCATTTAAACTTGTTTTTCAACCACTCCACACATTTTTGGTTAACAAACTGCAAGTCGGTTAGGACATCTACTTTGTGCATGACACAAGTAATTTTTCCAACAATTGTTTACGGACAGATTATTTCACTGTATCACAATTCCAGTGGGTCAGAAGTTTACAGACACTAAGTTGAAAATTCCAGAAAATGATGTCATGGCTTTAGAAGCTTCTGTTAGGCTAATTGACATCATTTGAGTCAATTGGAGGTGTACCTGTGGATGTATTTCAAGGCCTACCTTCAAACTCAGTGCCTCTTTGCTTGACATCATGGGAAAATCAAAAGAAATCAGCCAAGACCTCAGAAAAAAAATGGTAGACCTCCACAAGTCTGGTTCATCCTTGGGAGCAATTTCAAACGCCTGAAGGTACCACGTTCATCTGTACAAACAATAGTACGCAAGTATAAACACCATGGGACAACGCAGCCGTCATACCGCTCAGGAAGGAGAAGCGTTCTGTCTCCTAGAGATTAACGTACTCTGGTGCGAAAAGTGCAAATCAATCCCAGAACAACAGCAAAGGACCTTGTGAAGATGCTGGAGGAAACAGGTACAAAAGTATCTATATCCACAGTAAAACGAGTCCTATATCGACATAGTTATGTCAAGGTATTGGAGTGGCCATCACAAAGCCCTGACCTCAATCCTATAGAAAATTTGTGGGCAGAACTGAAAAAGCGTGTGCGAGCAAAGAGGCCTACAAACCTGACTCAGTTACACCAGCTCTGTCAGGAGGAATGGGCCAAAATTCACCCAATTTATTGTGAGAAGCTTGTGGAAGGCTACCCGAAACGTTTGACCCAAGTTAAACAATTTAAAGGCAATGCTACGAAATACTAATTGAGTGTATGTAAACTTCTGACCCACTGGGAATGTGATGAAAGAAATAAAACCTGAAATAAATCACTCTCTACTATCATTTCACATTCTTAAAATAAAGTGGTGATCCTAACTGAGCTAAAACAGGGAATTTTTACTAGGATTAAATGTCAGGAATTGTGAAAAACTGAGTTCAAATGTATTTGGCTAAGGTGTATGTAAACTTCAACTGTATATATATATATATATATATATATATATATATATATATATATATATATATATATATATATAAAATACATATTCTATTATTTTTTACTAATATAATTGCTCAGAAAAAATGATTTTGTTTAACAAGTAATATTTTCTTCTCAAGAAGGTAGGGGTCAAAATTATTGACACCCGTTTTCAACTTGCACGGAGCCTTTTTGTAAAATGTTTTATGAGTGGTAGCACACATTGGAAGGGATCTTAGACTATTCCTCCATACAGACTCCTTCCAGATCATTGATATCCTTCGTCTGCACTTATGGACTGCCCTCTTCAATTCAAACCACAGGTTTTCAATGGGTTTCAAGTCCAGAGACTGAGATGGCCATTGCAAAATGTTGATTTTGGGGCCAATTAACAATTTCTTTGTGGATTTTTATGTGTGCTTGGGGTTATAGTCTTGCTGGAAGATCCACTTGCAGCCAAGTTTCAGCCTCCTGGCAGAGGCAACCAGGTTTTTGGCTAAAATATCCTGGTACTGGGTAAAGTTAATGATGCAGTTGACCCAATGCAGACATTTCTATATCAATATCAAATCATTACTGGGTAGCAATTAAATACCTTACTAACCACATTTCCATCTACAGTTTTTATGTGAGTAAAGTTATACCATATAAAAGAAAATCACGACAGCTGTGATGGAAACAGGAAGTTTCAGTACAATTTCATAGATGCAGACAGATAATTTGTTTGTTCGACAATATGGGATTTTGTCTGTAAAATGTATTATGCAAGAAATGGTGGTGGAAACGCCTTTATGCGCAAATATTGATATAACAACCATCATATCGAAGTAAAGTTGGAGTCACACGATGACATGGTGTGTGATCCTCGCACTACGACTCGGGGAAACCATGCAGTTTAAATTAGGCTACAGATTAAATAAGTTATGATGAACTTCACAGGGTGGTGAAAGTGCACGGTATGAGCTTGATGCGCCTTTCCAATAAATGTTGAGGGTCTTATTCTGGTGACATGATGATCGATGCTTGACTGCCATTTGACAAATAATTACCCATAATCTCATCATGTAGACTAGCCTAGCCGCACTGTATCTGTGAGCTGTTGGCTAGCACGCACGTGCCAAGACCAGAGTAGACACATTTGCTATTTAACGCAAAAGTTTGTGAGAAAACTATCAGTAGAGTTGAAATGCAATGGAAACACATTGAGCATTAGATTTTTATTTGGTAAATAAAAACTTAAGCAATAAAATAATAATTGTGTGCACTGTCATCACGCACAGATTTTGTATCTGCAACAAGTCCAGTTTGGAGGAACACCACTGTTTGGGAAAAAGCAATTTTTTTTGCTTTATGCAGATTTTTGAATATTTGCATGAAAATCTGTCGCCAATTGGATGGAAACCTAGTTACTGTAATAGAGTTCCATGAAAATTGGCAAAAATAGCTTTTTAGCAAAAAACGATTTCTCACTATCTGGGAGTGTTCTGAGTGGGGAGGGGAGAACAGAAAACTAGCTGTTATTGGTAGAGAGGTTTGGAACGGATGTCACCATGGAAAGCCGAAACTCCCACCTTGCAAACCTGCTGATTAGAAGGTCCTATGCAGATGGTATTTTCTATCCGCAAATATCAGGAAATAACTCTGATCACATTTTTGTTGTACAATATAATATAAAACACATAAAAAAAAATCATGTTTTTGACTACACTGGGCTTTTAACAAGGGCTCTAGGACCAGTGCAAGCAAAATAGCCCCATAACATCAAAGATCCACCACCATATTTTACAGTAGATATGGGGTTCTTTTCTGCTCATGCATTCTCATTTCGACGCCAAACCCACCACTGGTGTGCGTGGCCAAAGAGCTCTATTTTCATGTCATCTGACCAAAGCACCAGTTCCAATCCAAGTGCCAATGCCGTTTAGCAAACTCCATGCATTTACATTTGTTGGATGACATGAAAATGGAGCTCTTTGGCCATGCACACCACCATACGAAGAATTCTGTATGGAGGAATGGTCTATGATCCCTCCCAATGTGTTCTCCAACTCATAAAACATTTTAGAAAAAGGCTCAGTGCCATTATCCTCGCAAGGTGAGATATTGAAAGTAATTGAAATTGATTTTGTTAAACAAAATCAATTTTTCTGAGCAATTGTATTAGTATAAAATAAATATTTTGCATACAATATAGCTCAGTATTGGAATTATTTATTTTATATAGTATTTTTTTCTAATTTTTATCAAGGGTGTCAATTTTGGACCCCACTGCATATACTGTATATTCATATTTTTTCAAATTCAAACTACTGAGTTGATTATGTACCTTCTCTCTTTCAAAGGGCAGATTGCAGTCCACTGCTGGGTCTTTGGGTCATAAGATTCTACTGAGTCGTACAGCTTTCCATATGACCCACCACCCATGGCATAGATCTTCTTTTTCATGGTGGCATAGCAGCCAACCTGAGGAGAGGAGAGATCGTTGGGCAAGTGGTGAGAGATTTGGAGAGGTTGCAATTTGTGAATGTGTTTGTTATACATTTCAGTTGGAAGCCGGAAATGTTCATGTCTCACCTTGCGGACCATGGTCATGCTGGTTTGTGTGGTCCAGGTGTTGTAGTGAGGGTCGAACACCTCCACAGTCAGGAGCTCCTTGTCCTCTTCCTCTCCTCCCAACACATAGATCACCCCATCCAGCTCTGCAACACCAAAGTTCTGCCTCGCCTGACCAAACAAATGGCAGAAGCCTCAATAATACTGGGCAATACTGAACCCTGGTGGCATCACTCGGAACTATAACACATTTTAGCAGGTTAGAGACGAACAAAACAAAAAATGGCTACCAGTGGGAGTATACAAGTAAAAAAGATAGATGGAACATTTGATAGATTAAATAAAAAAGTGTAATGTATGTACCAGTACATACCACAATAATCCCTTGGTTTAGTGGAATACATTTATTTGGTCTACATAACCAATTGAAGTGAGAACTTCAAATGATACACTTGAAATGCCTATGAAATAAGTGGGTTGAATGGTGCTAATGAAAAGGTTAAAAGGATTGCAAAGAAAAAAACTTTGCAGTTTTTAGGTTGTGTGGAGTAGTAGAATACCTGTTTCATGGAAGGAATGGGGGTCCAAGTGTTTGTGTTTGGGTCATATTTCTCTCCACTGCTAAGGACTGTCTTGGTTTCATCCATGCCACCCATCACAAAGAGATGGCCCTCTGAGAGGACAAAAATGGGGTTAATCCATTGTTGATCACTAAGACTAGGTTGGGTTTGCCTTACATGAGAATTGTTGGCGCTATCAACTAATCATTAGCTGCCATGAAGACTGCACTGTGTATAAGTATGTGCATATGTAACAGTAAAACTGGGTCTGGATCCAATACCAACCTGCTGCCAGCACCCCATGCCCTATTCGCCCAATGCTCATTGGTTCCAGCTCGATCCACAGCTGGCGGTTTGGGTCATAGAGTGGACACATGCAGCGCGCCATGGCTGACGGCTTCCTCGTTCTAAACAGGAACCAGATAACAGGATGTAAATTGTGGTCAGTCCTGTTGGTTTTATCTCTGACACACTGGCTCCTTCTCTAACCTCATCCTCTGTCTGTGTGTCACCATAACACCCCTTCAACTTTACTTACTTGTCTAGAGGCTCCTCAATCTCTCAGTGCTCTATCAGTAGATCAACCACACTATTCTCAGTTTTTACCCTTCCTTTCCTTAATACATTCTCTTCTTGCTTGTCATAACTTGCAGTTATCTGAATGTTTTGCATGAATTTCCATTACAAACTGTTTATCTATCAAGCATGTGCACAAAACCACAGCATATTGCAAAATTAGAATCAATGTTCAGAAAATATTCACACCCCTTGACTTTTTCCACATTTTGCTGTGTTACAGCCTGAATTTAAAATTGATTAAATTGAGATTTTTTGTCACTACCCCATAATCTCAAAGTATAATGATGTTTTTGGAAACTTTTACAAATTAATTGAGGTAATCAACCCCTTTGTTATGGCAAGCCTAAATTAATTCAGGAGTAAAAACATGCTTAACAAGTCACAGACCAGGAAGGTTTTCCAATGCACCCATTGGTAGATAAAAAATAAATAAAATAATAATCATAATAATAAGCAGACATTGAATATCCCTTTGAGCATGGTGAAGTTATTAATTACACTTTGGATGGTGTATCAATACACCCAGTCACTACAAAGATACAGGCATCCTTCCTAACTCAGTTGGCAGAGAGGAAGGAAACCGCTCAGGGATTTCACCATGAGGCCAATGGTGACTTTAAAACAGTTAGAGTTTAATGGCTGTGAAAGGAGAAAACTGAGGACAGATCAACAACATTGTTGTTGCTCCCGAGTGGCGCAGCGGTCTAAGGCACTGCATCTCAGTGCTTGAGGCGTCACTACAGACCCCCTGGTTCGATTCCAGGCCGTGATTGGGAGTCCCATAGAGCGGCGCACAACTGGCCCAGTGTCGTCCGGGTTTGGCCGGTGTAGGCCGTCATTGTAAATAAGAATTTGTTCTTAACTGACTTGCCTAGTATAAAAATGTAAATTAAAAAATGTATGCACTCACTAACTCTATGTCGCTCTGGATAGGAGCGTCTGCTAAATGACTAAAATGTAAATGTAAATGTAGTTACTCCACAATACTAACCTAATTGACAGGGTGAAAAGAAGGGAGCTTGTACAGAATACAAATATTCCAAAACATACATCCTGTTTGCAACAAGGCACTAAAGTAACACTGCAAAAAATGTGGCAAAGCAATTAACCTTTCCCTGATAACAAAGTGTTATGAGTACCACTCTCCATATTTTCAAGCATAGTGGTGGCTGCATCATGTTATGGGTATGCTTGTCATTGTTAAGGACTGGGGCGTTATTCAGGATAAAAAAAGAAACGGAATGGAGCTAAGCACAGGCAAAATCCTAGAGGAAATCCTGGTTCAGTCTGCTTTCCACCAGACACTGGGAGATGAATTCATCTTTCAGCAGGACAATAACCTAAAGCACAAGGCCAAATCTACACTGGAGTTGCTTACCAAGAAGACAGTGAATGTTCCTGAGTGGACAAATTACAGTTTCGACTTAAATCTGCTTGAAAATCTATGGCAAGACCTGAAAATGGTTGTCTAGCAATGATCAAAAACCAATTTGACAGAGCTTGAAGAATGTTGATAAAGAATAATGGCAATCCAGGTTTGGAAAGCGCTTTGAGACTCACCCAGAAAGACTCTCAGCTGTAATCGCTGCTGAAGGTGCTTCTAAAAACTATTGACTCAGGGGTGTGAATACTTATGTAAATGAGATATTTCTGTAATAATTTTCCATGAATTTGCAAACATTTCTAAAAACATGTTTTCACTTTGTCATTATTATGGGGTATTGTTTATAGATGGGTGAGGATAATTTTTAAAAAATCCATTTTGAATTCAGGTTGTAACACAACAAAATGTGGAATATGTTAAGGGGTATGAATACTTTCTGAAAGCACTGTACACATTCAACAGCATGTAGACATTTGTCTGGACATCATCCCAGAGCAACTTAGCAAATACTCACCCTCTCTCCTCCCCCCCTACAGTGACAATGCACTCTGAGTAGCCACGAGGTTTGAAGGCGGCTAGAAGAGCCTCGCCCTGCAGTGCAGCGCCCCCCAGTGGAGCATTGCAGTACTCCCGGATCACCTCCCTCATCACGGGCTCTCCCAACATCTGCTCCCTCATGTAACCCTGGTCCAGCCCCTGGATCCACACCGATGACATCACCTCTTTCATGTGCACCTGGGAGGGATCAAGAAGATGTTACTCAGGGGATGAGCTAAGAGGCCAATAGTAATGCATAGGCAAATTGTGTGCGAAAAACACATTCCTTCAAATTATTTAGTAGTCTCCGACCATAATTGTAGTTGTAATTCTACATTTGCAGCCATGCTTTAGGCAGATGTCTAATACTAAAGAGGTTGTTTTCTGACAGACAGAATCAAGGGCAGTACCACCACCACCACCCTAGTAGTAGAACAGGCCCTCACCCTCCGTTCCTCCAGGTCATGGCCGAGCCAGCGCACCACAGCCTCCAGGACATGCTTCTCATTGCCCACGTTGAGCTTCTCCATCGACAGGATCTCGCACAGCCGGTCTGGGGGTAACTCCCTGAACTCCTCCGTGGCGGCCACATCACAGAAATGTGTCTGAAGGAAGTCTGTGGCAGCATGGTGAACATGGTGCAGGCAGTAATGTAGAGAGAAAAGCCGGATCCCAATGCAGTTCTCTGCAGCAATGCAGCTCTCCAGAAACTGGCAGCACAGGGACTTCAGGTCTGTCAGGAGCAGCAGGTCAGCGGCCTGGACCATGTCCTGAATGGTGTCCTCACTCAGACTGATCTACACACAGACAACAAGGAGCGGGATGGAAGGAGAAGTGTAACATCAGGATTGTTCTAGGTATCATAATATGTTTTTGAATATTATATAATTCTAAAACAGATATGAAAATGGATTCTCTCAAAAGAGTTAGGCATATAACCTACCGGACAATATCGGTATTGGCAATTTAAAAACCAGTATAAGAATCACACATACTGGTCAGTTTTAATGAATCTGACCCATCTCACTTGTGTTCACTTCATTGTAGGCCCACTACAGATTTGCATACTGCTCACCTCCCCACTAAAGATGAAGTCCAAGATCTGCTTCATGATATTGACAGAGATTCCTTGGAGCTCAATGGTGTACATGGATCCATCTTCCTTTGGAGGGTTGTAGTTCAGTTTTGTTCTATGGGATATGTCAGAATACTGTATCAGAATGACAGGAAAAGGCACTGACAGTCTGCCAGCACCGAGTGGGACACTGGGACACACCCTTGACAGCTGGAAACAATGTCACAACATTAGCCCTGTCAACATTTTTTTAAACCATGGCTTGTCAAAAGCCATAGCTGATTACCTGATATATGGACTAGCCGCAGCCAAAATGTTTTTCTGGACTGGAATCCTTTCCCCGTCCAGTACTAACACTGCATCTTGGAAGCATTGTTCTATCCAGAAGGAGCGAAGGGCCTTGAGAAGTTTCTGAGAGTGTTGAGGGTCCGACACCACCGAACCTGCAGCACTAACCACTGGATCAGAGCTGGACATTGCGTACCTACAGACGAAAAACACGTCATTATTAGCACAGCTGCCGGGATGGCGGACATAGAGAATAAATCAATTTAGCCGGCCAGTGTTAGTTTCACACAGGATTAGCCTAGGCTAACGTAAGCATGATACATTAGTAACTGTAGCAATAAGACTGAACTGAATTGTTGGCTGAATATTAAAAGTGACACCATTACACTTGGTAGGGTCACAAACATTTCAATAAAAACGGACAGGTTTCGATGACATGCATAGCTTACTATAATAGTAAGCTACTTTACCGCTAGCTAGCTAGACATAAACAAAGAACGGGTGCGTATATAAATCATTGGGTGCGTCCCACTTCACTGTAGCATACCTTGCATGGACAACCACTAGCCAGAGGAAGAAAGCGAGAATTCTGTAAAGTAGGCGTGAAGAAGCTTTCCAGCAGGCTCCGTTGACAAACTTTTACTGTCCTTCCTTTTGAGCAATCCATACATTCATTGGAGCAGTCACAGACCTGCGAGAGACATGAATATGTTGAAACCTTCCTTTCACCTTTCTGCTTTCATACAGATTAGTGTGTGCACCATTGATTGACGTTATATATGAAGATGTACACCTCGAGGAAGACAGGGTGGATCAAACTTCAAAGTAATCGAACAGAGCCCCGATTGACTGTATTTCGGATCCGCCCATGTTACGCCCACAAAAAAAAAGATTATTCTTCTTCGTCTTCTTCTTCTTCTTCTTCGATGAGGTATAAGGGCGGTTGGCATCCAATAAATGTTGCATTACCGCCATCTACAAGACTGGAGTATAACTCCATTTTTCCTCCGACTCAACTCGGGCCGAACGCCCAGCTTCAAATTCTGACATGTCGACACCAGAATCCTCAACGGCTCCCCACAAAAAATCTCTACAGTGTTTTCACACATATGGTCCATGCGCATGTGTCGGAGAGGCACTAATGCTGCATTCATAAACAAAAGGGAAGGTAGTAATTACCAGTTGTGAAGTCGTAACTACCAGTTAGATGCATTCATGTGCTTTGAACTCGTTGAGAAACGCCGATTGGCTAATGGCCAACAAGCTGTGTCAACCATGAACTAAAAGTATGTCTACTATGCTTGTAAACAAATTATAGTGTTCAAAAACCATATGAATAGATTGGTTTTTACATATACATGTTTTGTTGTTACATTTAACTGCTGAAAATGCTGTTATTGAGGTCATTTCCTTAGTAGGTGATTTATCTCATGATCACCACATAACAAAATATATTTTGTCAAGATCACAAAATCATTTTCTCATGATCACGACATAACAAAAGTTATTTTGTTATGATCATGAGATAATCAAAAGTACCATGCATCATCCATCCATTTGTTCAGATGCACAATTGAGTACCACAGTATGAGTCATAATACCCATAAAACCTAGCGGTCAAACACGGAAATGGTTCCAATCGTTTTTCAACCATTCATTTTTCCATAGGGGATTTTAGAACGACTTCATACAGTATAAGGTCTGTGTTTCGTGTAGGCTTACCCTGGCTTGACGTTTTGATAACCACGTAAATCTTTTTCGGACAAGGTAACTTTAATCAATATGTTCTCCTGTAATTACTCCCCCCCCTATCATACAGAACTACACATCCTGTCGCAAGCTTTGACATCATCACTCAAGGCAATGTTGCAGGGTGGGAAAAACCTCTACTGTCCTAGCTTCAGGGGGAAGCTGGGGGTCGAGGTGAGGAGGGGGATGCCAGGACAGGGATGCTTTCGGAAGATGGACAGGGACTCTGCTGTCCTAGCTTCAGGGCGAAGCTGGTTCCACCATTGGGGTGCCAGGACAGAGAGGAGCTTGGATTGGGCTGAGTGGGAGCTGCCCTCCCATAGGGCTGGGAGGGCAAGAGACCAGAGGTGGCAGAACAGAGTGCTAGGGTTGGGGTGTAGGGTTTGAGCATAGCCTGAAGGTAGGGAGGGCAGTTCCTCTTGCTGCTCCATAGGCAAACACCATGGCCTTGTAATGGATGTGAGCTTTAAATGGAAGCCAGTGGAGTGTGCGGAGGAGCAGGGTGACATGGGAGAACTTGGGAAGGTTGAAAACCAGGCTGGATGCAGCGTTCTGGATAAGTTGCAGGGGTTTGATGGCACAAGCGGCGAGCCCAGCCAACAGCGAGTTGCAGTAGTCCAGACAGGAGATGACAAGTGCCTGGATTCGGATCTGCACTGGTTCCTGTGTGAGGTAGGGTCGTACTCTATGGATGTTGTAGAGCATAAACCTGCAGGAGCGAGTCACTGCTTTGATGTTTGCAGAGAATTACAGTGTGTTGTCCAGGGTCACGCCAAGGTTTTTTGCACTCTGGGAGGGCGACACTGTAGAGTTGTCAACTGTGATGGAGAGGTCTTTGAACGGGCAGGCCTTCCCCGGGAGGAAAAGCAGTGCCGTCTTGTCAAGGTTGAGCTTGAGGTGGTGGGCATCTGTTGTACATGACTAATCAAATGACCTGTGAAGTCAGTTAGATATGTCAGCAGGGATGGGAATTAAGTTAGCCTGAGGCTAGTACTTTTCAGACTGGGCTAGTATACAATGTGCCAAACTAGCCTGACACAGCAGTGACATTTTGCCTTTACAAACATCGCATGCCACAGATTTAGGACCAGAATGTTACCCGGGCTAGTAGAAATTGTGGTCTTCTGGCCAGTGCCCAAAATCCTTATGTTTCTTTCAGAATATCCCCCTACCACTGTTGGTCCTCCTCAGTGACCTCACGGCTGAGGGTTTTAACTTTCCTCTTGAGAATTAGAATCGTAAGTACAGTCATATAGCTCATCGCAATACTTCATCTCTTCGGGCAAATAGTACCCTAGACTGTCCTGATCATCTAGTTTCAACCTAGCTAGCTAGTAAAAGTAACTACTTTTTTGACTTTCAGACGGGCGGACCGGAAACCCAGTGACAACACTTGGGTCTGCAGCTGCCATTTTATGTTGGGAAAGAGAAATTGCCCTGTATTTACAAGAAAAGGTAGTTCATCCACCATGGCAGAAGAGGAAGATGCAGACACATCCACCATGGCAGACGATGAAGTTCCAGGCCCATTGAATGTAGGAGGCTGCTGTCTGCACAGTTGCAGAATGTTCTCACTGAGGTGCATCTTGAGGATTTGCGCAGTTGAAGATTCTATAGGAGAATCAGCTGTATACCCTCAACAGGTATTAAGCATCACAGCTGTCTGATAAAGTACTTAGGATGGAAACAGGACTTCCAGACAAAGACATGTTCAACATCGTTGTTGAATACTTGGAACGTTACAAGGATTGCATTGTCTACTTTGCCAAGTGGAGGGTCGAGGTGATGTCATTTGAGGATCAAGTGTTTATGGTGCTTATGAAGTTGCATCACAGCTACACCAACTTGCATCTGGCTCCCTTGTAGTGCAAGCACTGTCAGCAATGTTACCATCACTTTCATTCACGTGATCCACAAGCTTTTTTTCATTAGCATCATGAAGACTGTTCCAAGTCGGGAGAAGAACCAAATGTGCTTGCCTGTGTCTTTTCAGGGGTGGAAATAATATGGCACCACAACAAACCTGCCAAGAGAGGGCTGCCCAACAAAACTCATGGACCAGGCAAGGAGGGCATTAATCAGAGAGGCAACAAAGACACCAAAGATAACTTTGAAGGAGCTGCAAAGCTCCACAGCGGATATTGGAGTATTTGTCCATAGGACCACTTTAAGCCATACACCCCACAGAGCTGGGCTTTACGGAAGAGTGGTCAGAAAAAAGCCATTGCTTAAAGAAAAAAATAAGCAAACACGTATGGTGTTCGCTAAAAGGCATGTGGGAGACTCCTCAAACATATGGAAGAAGGTACTCTGGTCAGATGAGACTAAAATTGAGCTTTTTGGCCATCAAGGAAAACGCTATGTTTGACGCAAACCCAACACCTCTCATCACTCCGAGAACACCATCCCCACAGTGAAGTATGGTGGTGGCAGCATCATGCTGTGGGGATGTTTTTCATCGGCAGGGACTGGGAAACTGGTCAGAATTGAAGGAATGATGGACGGTGCTAAATACAGGGAAATTCTTGAGGGAAACCTGTTTCAGTCTTCAGAGATTTGAGATTGGGACGGAGGTTCACCTTCCAGCAGGACAATGACCCTAAGCATACTGCTAAAGCAACACTCAAGTGGTTTAAGGGGAAACAATTAAATGTCTTGGAATGGCCTAGTCAAAGCCCAGACCTCAATCCAATTGAGAATCTGTGGTATGACTTAAAGATTGCTGTACACCAGCGGAACCCATCCAACTTGAAGGAGCAGGAGCAGTTTTGCCTTGAAGAATGGGCAGAAATCCCAGTGGCTAGATGTGCCAAGCTTATAGAGACATACCCCAAGAGACTTGCAGCTGTAATTTCTGCAAAAGGTGTCTCTACAAAGTATTGACTTTTGGTGGGGGGTGAATAGTTATGCACGCTCAAATTTGTGTTTTTTTTGTCTTATTTCTTGTTTGTTTCACAACAAAAAATATTTTGCATCTTCAAAGTGGTAGGCATGTTGTGTAAATCAAATGATACAAACCCCCCCAAAATCTATTTTAATTCCAGGTTGTAAGGCAACAAAATAGGAAAAATGCCAAGGGGGGTGAATACTTTCTCAAGCCACTGTACTGACATAGAAGTTGCTACTCCAAGTCAGATGGATCTGCAGAAGCAAACCTACTTTGTGTACTGTTCAATGCACTCCTTCAAGCCATTCCTGGGAGTTGCACCTAATGCAGTGATAACATACTGCAGTGATCGGTATCCAGGATCTGTCTCAGACAAAGCCATTGTCCAGAAGTCGGGGTTTGTTCACATCTGGAGACATGATTTTGGCAGACAAAGTATTCTTGATCCAGAGGTTGACACCTGCAGGAGTCACTGTGAACATTCCTACATTATTGAACCATGGAAGGTTCACAGAGAGTGAGATACACCTCGCAAAAGACATAGCGAGAAACAGGATCCATTTGAGAGGGCAAATGCTAGACTAAAAGATTTCAAAATCCTGAGATTCATCCAACCTTATCTGCATTGTTAAAGTAATGTCCTGGTGCAGACTTGCTATGCACTTGTAAACCTCCAAGACCCACTCATCACAGAAGTAGCTGTTGATTGGGAAACAAGAATAAACAATGATGCATGAGGCTTGGGTGTTGAGGGACCACTTGTCACCTTGTCCAAGGTGGGTTTGTGTACAATATTGTGTACAACAATTAATTTGTAGATATATCTGCACAGTATGTTTGTCATGTTTGTGTAAGGTTCTCATGACTTAAGATTAGGTGTTGTGGGACCACTTGTCACATTATCCAAGGTGTGTTTGTGTACAGATGAAGATGGTGATACAGCATTGAAAAATACCTACAGTTGAAGTCAGAAGTTTACATACACTTAGGTTGGAGTCATTAAAACTCGTTTTTCAACCACTCCACAAATTTCTTGTTAACAAACTATAGTTTTGGCAAGTCGGTTAGGACATCTACTTTGTGCATAACACAAGTCATTTTTCCAACAATTGTTTACAGACAGATTATTTCACTTATATTGTATCACAATTCCAGTGGGTCAGAAGTTTACATAGTTTAAACAGCTTGGAAAATTCCAGAAAATTATGTCATGGTTTTAGAAGCTTCTGATAGGCTAATTGACATCATTTGAGTCAATTGGAGGTGTACTTGTGC